TCAATGCAATGAATATTGTTTCAAAATGTGTTGGCCCAACATGTATAATTTCTATCCATCCTTCCCTTTTTCATAGCCAAGGCACTTCTAATTGAACCAAAATCGTTTAAATTGTGTTTGAGAATGTGTATTTATATTTAGAATGTATATTTGAAATACATATATTTAAAATACTTTGTTTGGATTGAATAAAAAAATAATTTTTAAATACATGTATTTTTAAATACATTATTTGGATACTTTAAAATACTATGCATTTAAAATTGAATTTTTCTTATTAAATTAAATCTTCTTCTAATCATTTTTAAATTTAATGAGATACAATTTTAGTCTTCCAAGGTACCCAATAAGACATAACATGACCTCCACTATATCATTTTATCTTCATATTCTTCATTTTTTCCATTGTCATAAAATATTCAATTTTTGTAAAGATAGATTTATCATGGAAGAATTTCACTATGGAAAATAAAAAAACAAAATAGCATCTAAAATGATTATCAACTATGTCCATTAACTGTACCCAAAAAAAAGAAAAAAACCTATGTCCATTGACAAGCTAGTTGAGGTAACACTCCTTAATTGCAAAATGAAATAGAAATATAACAGAAATATAACATTCTTCTTTGAAGATTTCGAAGTAAATCACTGAGTCAAGGTTAAAAGTTGGAAAGGAATAAATCCTACATCATCAACAATAAACTGACAAACCATTGTCACCATCAACCATGTTTTTCTATAATAATTTGTTTTACATTATTATAAAAAAGTAAAATGTCTTTTATTATAACCTAACAAAAGAAAGTACATGAAAAAATAAAAGCTAAAGAGCAAAAGGGTAACTATAATGAGATAAACTGTCTTACTTGTAAAACAAAAATTCCCAAGTATTTTTGTAATTTTTGGAAGGTCCTTGAACTTGATCACTTCTGCAGTTTCTATAATTTAAGAAAAGAGTCAATGTTGTAGGTTTAAATCTAATAAACACCAGAACTATCAAAAAATGAATAAAGAATCTTCAACCCAAGCATATCTTATATAGTTAATTTAAAACAAAAAAGCATAAAGCTATTTTTCTATATCTTCTGTGACTTGCTTCAGTTTCAAGGTAAACCCAATAACAAATAAATCTTATAATCTTACTTCAACTGAAGGAAAAGGAAATGACTAAAGCAACCCCGTGAGTCTTGGATGTGCACAGCAGTAACTATCTAAAATATCAAACTCCAGGTAAACATTGCTAAAACATTCAAAAGTTAGTTTTCAATTTTTTTTTTTTTTTTTAAGTTGTGTGTGCTTTGTAGAGTTTCACTGAAAAAATTTTACTTTATTATCAGACCTCTATTATTAGGGAATACCCTGAAGTGCTGATGGTAATTGTCATCGGTTGCCTCTTTACAACTATCCAATCTACTGCAATTGGTCTAATTGCAGAAAGAGACATGGGTGCTTGGAGTTCTAAGTCAATTTGCACACACATTAAAACTAAAGGAAGACCTCTGTCATTGGAACTAAGAAGAATTATATTTTTATGAATTTTTTAAAGAATCAAATCTTGATCAATAAGATGAAAAGTAAACTCCTTTACAAATTAAATTAAAACTCTTTACACAAAGAGAAGGAAATTGATACCATATTACATTGTCATTTACTAATTTGGCATAAGTGCACCGTGGAGACCTTTTTTTTTTTTTT